TAATGAACTTAAGACCTAGCTTATGGAATAACTTAGAGTCTCGAGCCTTACCTGGAGTTTCCCGACGACTTGAGAAGTTCCCAAAGTATTTTTCTCGAGCATGACCTCGGAGAGCTTAGATTTATAATTGGTAAAAGTAAAAAATGAAGGTGGGAACGACAGTATTTATAGGTAAAAACGACGAAAGGCCAAAGGTCGCCATCTAAGGCCGTCCATAAAGACACGTGTCACAAATCCAAGCCCCTTCTCTGCAACGATCATATCAATACCGACCTCTATCGTCAGCCAGTATTTCTCGACGACGTTGCCTAAAGTGAAGTGTTCGTAACTTAGGTGCACTCCATCCCAGAGCACGATCTCTAGGAGGAGTGCACGGGGGCCAGTGATGATACCAATATTGTATACTCCGAGGACTATTTCCTCGAGGACTCCATACGTGCTCCGCCCACTTTTCTGCCACATGTCCTCGAGATCTTTCTAGTCCTTGAGGTATTTTGGTCCTCGAGAATATGTCCTCGGGACATATTCCATTAACAGATCTTCTAGACCTATGTGCCTAACAAACGGACACCTAAACACCCAAGAACTCTATATCAACTCTTACACCACTAGTCAAACAATTCCATTACGAGTAGGACATTCCTCACAAACAAGACTCCATTGGATAAATACGGATCTAGCACAATCCTACTAGGAGTACACTACCTACCTCTATAAATATAGAACCTTGGGCCATTATTCAGGTACGTTCTCATTATTTCTCCAGTTTGTAGCCTCACGCATATAATTCCCTTTCTGACTTAAGCATCGGAGGGGCAACGAGAACATACCTCATTGTCTTTGTTTCAGGTACCGTAGAACTACAATCGTGCTCAATCAAAATCATCAAGCTCGGGAAATCAACAGGTACAATTTTTGGTAGCATCAGATTTCAAGAAACAATAATAGGAGGCTTGATTCAGCGAAGTTAGGGTTGATCCATAAAGATGATGAAGATGGAAACCAAAAAGGGAAGATGGAGTTGATATGGTGTTGGTGGTACCAGACTCTTTGAGTTTCATAGCTGGTCTTCCTCGAGAATCTTATAGGGAGAAGGAACAGAATCGGCCAATGAATAAGCGGATGGACTGGAATGGAGACAAAAAAAACTCAGAGAGAATGTGCAGTCGACAATGGCTGTTATTGGGGATGAGGTGTGTTAAGAGTCCGGTCAGGTGTTGCGGTGGCCATGGTAGTGGAGAGCGAACACATTAGAAGTAGTGATTTGCAAGGGCGACAATGGAAAGCGATAGATCAAAAGCAATGATTTGCAACGGCAGTGGTAGTTGATGTTTCTGTTGATAAGAGTGGTGATTGATTGGAAGTGGTGCTGGAATAGCTGGATGTTTCTGTCAACGATAGTAGTAGTAGATGAACGCGTGCACCTAATTTTTGGAAAAGAAAATCCTTACACTTGATTATTGAAATGGAAGATTAAAAAACTAGGTCTCTGTATAATTTTTCCTTTTTTCAAGGAATCCGAAATTCCTGGAGGGAAAATTTCCCCGTTTATCAAAAAGTTAAATTATTGAATTATTTTTTGCAGTATTATCAAAACATTTTTATTTTCAGAAATAATGTGTGCTTATATATACATATCAATTTTCTGCATTTTTGAACAAAATTGTTGCAATTTTTGTAACAAGTTATATTTTTGTACTCCATTAAACCAAAAATATATTTTTTCGAAACTTATTTTCAATCACACGCTCTTTGATAAAATAATATTACGCATGAATAACCACACATCTTTCAAAAAATTACTATTTCAAAATATATTTTTTCCAAAACCTCATTAAAATGGAGTTCAACAAGGTTTAAGTTACATTGGCAGCTGCCACCATACCATCACCAATGTTCTTCTCAAACATAACTACCATGAAGGAGGTAAAAGAACTATCCAAATCATCAACACCACATAGGGATGACTTGTCAAAACTCGGCTCGAGGGCGGCTCGGGCTCGTCATTTAGAGGCTCGTCAAAACTTGGCTCGAGGGCGGCTCGGGCTCGTCACGAGCCAAGCAGGGGCTCAATCCCACGAGCCCACAAGCTCAAAAAATATTATTTTTTAAAAAAAAATGTTCAAAATGTGCAAATTTACCAAAATTTTTTTTTTAAAAATCATGAGCTCACGAACGGCTCGACCCTCGAGCTCAGCTCGAGCTCGTGGTCCGAGCCGAGCTCACCCGCGAGTAATGAGCCGAGCTTGAGCTAGGCTCGTCTTCCACGAGCCACAAGCTCGGCTCGCAAAGGGCTGAGCCGAGCCATTACTATCACTACATAATTTTTTCTTCTTTTTTACCCAAAATTTCCTGCGTTTCTACCATTTATCTCACCTCCATCATCATCACCGTCGTCACACCATAAGGAAGAAATCAGTAAAAAATTATTATCAAATCTGGAAAAGATAAAAAGATTTGTAATAATGGTGGTGTATTGTAACGGTGGTTGGTAGTGGGAGGAGGCAAACAATGGCGGTTCATGATGATGATCTTTGTTATCAATCAAAATTTAACAATGATTAATGGCGAACACATGCGGGGTACTTTTCAAATTGGCTGAGCCAAACAACAAGTTTTGCACTTTGACCAATTTTTTTTTGCATTCACCACATTGGCATCTTGTATTGAAAAAGAAAATTGTGCCCTTATTTATGTTCCACAATTACAAAAATATGTTAATTCTTTGAAAGACAATAATATCCTTAAAAGTTTAAATAAATTCAATCACTTCCATACGTAAATTTCAAAATCAATTTTGCTTATCAATTTCTTCAATACAGTGAAAAAGAAATTTTTTCTTCCATCTGCTAGAATATTGAAATCTCACAAAATTATCAAAGGTTCAACAAAAAAACAATACTCACAGTCGGCACTGAAAATTGGTAAGCGTAAATACGTATTTTTAATTTTGTTTTAGTTAAATTTACTGTTCGAATCTTTAAATCTTATTTTGACATTAGCAGATGAATTATTCAATATATAAACACAGATGTATAATTTTTTAAAGCAAAAATGAAAAAAAATTCATCTCTGTATGCATATATTTTACAGGAAAAATTTATAGGTGTGTGTAAAATAAATATTTAAACATTATTTCATTGAAAAGGGGAAAAAATAAAAAATTACAGCGTAAGTTCCAGGATGAAAACAGCCGGCCCAGATAACTGGGCTGCTGGGAACAGCCGGCTGCGTCCAGCCGGCCCAGGTCGACTATTCCAGTAGGCCCAGCTGGCTGTTCGGTATTTTTTTCCCTCTTTCAGATTTTATAATTTATTTGTTCATATTTAATATATGTTTATTGAACTAAATATTAATGAATATTTCAAAACAATTAAAATAATCAATGAATTATTTAAAATATAAAATTAAATTAAATATGAAATGAACAATTTAAAAAATTATATATTAATTCCTTATTTTTAATTTGCGGCAGATATGACATCAGCATGTGTCCCAATTTGTTACTTCGGTGAATTTTAAATGAATGAAAATGCTCGGTGGGAATGAAAATGGACGAGTGAAGGAGATGGTGTTAAAGCAATTTTTATAACAATGAGTACATCGTTTGCAGAAATGTACCATGATATACAAAACATGCTTAACGTCGATCCCTCTCAGTACGATATGAAATTCAGAATTTTGTTTCATAAGCATTCAACAATTCTAATTCCAATTCCACCTATGAAAGTTACTTTTGAAGTAGAAATGAAACATCGAATTAAATTGAACCAAGGTCGAAAGTCGACTCCTATTTGCATAACTTTATTGGGGAAGAATGTCTACGAGGGTGAACACGAAGTTTCAAATGAAGAGAATCGCAATGTAAATGATGTTTGGGATACAATTCAGATTGTTCGTGAAGATGATGTGGTTATTCCCTAGACCACTGCTACTCACCATGATCACACTGTTACTCACAGAATTTCATCGATAGTTGAAGACAACGAGAATGAAAACGCATTTACAAACGAGAATTTGATTGCTTTATTCCGTAGGAGACATGAGTCGGGTGGGAACTCACAGGCCGGACCGAGTACACGATCCTCTAATTGTTCGCCTGTAGTTCCCGATGATGAAGATGTATATGTCGAGCAACTATTCGTATCAAAGAAAGAATTGCAAAAAGCTGTGCACCGGATTTCTTTAAAACATAACTTCGAGTTTAAAGTGAAGAAATCAAACAAGTCGACGTACATAATTATCTGCGTTGACGACAGTTGCCATTAGCCTTTGCAAGTGACTAAGATGGACACGAATGAGTTCTTTGTAGTCTGCACAAGAACATACTTGTAAAGTGGGTATTCGTTGAAATGATCATAGGCAGGCCAAATCATGGTTCATTGGTCGAGAAATAATGCACAAGTTCCAGGACCCACGAACGATTTACAGACCTTCGGACATCATTAATGACGTTCGACGAGAGTACGGGCTAGTGATGAGCGATCAAAAGGTTTGGAAGGCTAAAGAATGTGCAATGGAGGATTTGAGGGGTTCGATCGAGGAGAGTTATGCTAAATTAGCCAGGTATTTTATTGTTTAAGTGTTTATTTCTTTGTTATTTTAATTTTTATTTATTTTATTTCAATTGTTTATTTATATGTAATTAATTATTTAATTGAATTGTTTATTTTTCTGTTCATTTAATATTTAATAGATTGTCTAAACTATGATTATTTTTATTTACATTGGTCAAGTATTGCTATAATATGAGAAGAATCAATAATAGATCGACATTTTTTATTGAGAAGGATGACAATAATCGCTTCAAATATTTCTTTATGGCCCTTGGACAATGTGTTCAAGGATTTCGAAATGCAATGCAACCCCTAATCTTAGTCGACGGTACAACCCTTAAGGCGAGATACGGGGGCAAGTTGATTATTGCAACATGCCAAGATGTGAACATCTAAATTTACCCTCTTGCATTCGGCATAGTCGACGTGGAAAATGATGTAGTGATGAGTTGGTTTTTCACGAAGTTGAGGGAAGTAATTGGGGATGTCAAAAACCTTGCATTCGTAACCGATCGAGGGCAGTCAATAATAAATGGTATCGCCAAAGTTTTTCCCGAAGCACATCATGATTATTGTATGTACCATGTACAGGGAAACCTGAAAATCAAGTATCGAGGCAAGGGCATTGTTGCGTTGTTTAGGAGAGCTGCAGAGGCTTACAATTTTGAAGAGTTTGAAAAATTCATGGTCGAAATAAACAATAAATCGCATGCTGCATGGGAGTATCTAACAGAGATGGGGATTAAACATTGGGCACGATCACATTTTCCAGGATGTTGATACAACATGATGACGTCGAACAATATATAGTCGCTTAACGCTTTATTCAAGAAAGATCGAGAGTTACCAATTCTCGCAATGATTGAGAACATTTGTGACAAGCTACAACAGTGGTTTCATGATCGACGTGAGGAATCACAGAGTTGGGCAAGTGTGCTAACCCCGGCTCAAGAAGATAAGCTCTTCAAGACTCTAGATGTGAAGAGAAAGGTATATGTAGAACCACTGGATCAGTTTCGCTTCTCCGTGAGATGTGCACGTTATTTCGGATACATCGTGGACTTGAATGATAACACGTGCACGTGTAGACGATTTCAGTTAGAGAGTTTTCCGTGTACACATGCAATGACAGTGGCTATGCATAGAGGATTTCCACCGCACACCTTATGCAGTGTGTATTACATGACTGATTATTTGAGAACAGCGTATGCGGAAACAATATTTCCTATATCAAACTAAGTCGAGTGGAAAGTTCCCGACCACATTCTCCCACTAAATAATTTGTCGTCACCAGCAGTTGGACCACGTACTCCTGGACGTACACGTACGTCTAGAATACCATCTATCGGAGAGTTTTTCCAGCCTCATAAGTGCGGTGCAACAGGGCATACTAGAAGATATTGTACAAGTCAGATTCCTCTGCATGACAATGTAACGGATGTGTAATTTTAATAACTATTGGCAATGTAATTATTTATAACATTGACGTTAATTATTTATATATATTATTTATGTTAATTATTAGATTTAGTTTTTTTTTAAACATTTCATTTATTACTTTCATTTGTTACACACATTATTTATGCATATTATTTATGCTAATTATTTGAAATCGAAGTTTTTTCTAGACACTGCATTATCCACAATACACACAAATATTATAAACAAACACATAAATTGTAAAATAAATATTTAAATATTACGTAAATAATTAACATTTTACAATTTTTTCGTAATTACAAATGAATGAATGAAATGTACAATATTTAAATAAATGTAAAAATATGTACAATTATTTACGGATCCCCATTAAATTCAAATAAATCACATGCTAATTTATTTCTCCAATTTTGTATTCATGCCTCGTTGATTGCATCAACCTTATGTGTCACATTCAAAAATTCTATGTACTTGATGACGAACATGCCGCAATCACTCCTACAATTAAACAATGTTGTATTAGCATATCGAAAATTAGTTAGAACCTAATATGTAAATGACAAAAATAAAATTACAAACACTTACGATATTTGCTGCCTCGTCGTCGTTGTGTTCCGCACGATGGCCAATCTATCCTACACAGTGATGTTCGCTCATCTAGCCATCATGGGAACGATCACAGACACCGACTCTAGATTTTGCTCGAGTGGACCTTCTGTCAGGCATGAATGATCGGGATCGTACACATACATAGTGGAGTCGGCGAATACGATTTCCACTGCAATGTAGTGATGATTCACACATACTGGCATGTACATATGCGTACAGCACTCCCATGGCTTTCCTCCGACACTCGGCCACATCCCTACGACCCACTTCATCATATATGACAGCACTGTGTACTCGTTACCCATAACTTGGAACGACTGGTACTCGATGTCAACGGCACAGATGACCTCGTTGTTCAATATGAGTCTGCCAGGAATGTTGAACGATTTTGGATGTCTTTTAGCTCGATCTCGTAGCAAATCCATGGCCAAATCGATGTGCTACATCAAGAAACACCAATAAAGAAAGGAGTTAATCTATGAATTTGATTCAAAAATTTGATTTTGAACATACATAATAAATAACAATATTTTCATTTCACTTACATCATCGGTGAGCCAAGCCCCCGAAGTGGTGATGTCGTGGAACCACTTGTAAGCATTTGAGATCATCTTCTGAGCAATCGTGCAACTGGCCCTGAAAAAATAAGAACAAAATTTTTAGTTACAAAAAGTATACATGTGTCAGCGTCTGCGTACTATACTAATTCTATAAAATACAAAACTTACCCAAGCTTTATTGCTCTCCACTCCGTCTCAAAGGCTTTCTACTTGGCGTGGTCCACCTCCCTGAATAAATTCGGGTGCGTCCCGTCGACGAACCTTTTCCTCTTTACCTTCTTGGTAAAGGGAGAAACGACGTACTGCGATGGCACCTTCGGCCTTTTGCCGACCACCCGCTCCAGCACATCAAAAGCCATCATCCTCTCCTCATTCATCTCGGGAACCTCCATCTCCCCAACCATCGAGACGACCCTTTCGCCCGCTATCGGGACCACTTCCTCCGACACAAAGACCACGTCCGGCAAGTCTGGCATCTTCTCTGGTACTACCTCCACCTCCGGTACCCTTTCCTCCTTCGGTGCCCCATCGACATCCTTGGGTATCCCCTGCATGGGTACCACCTCCGGTACACCCTTGACGTCCTCAGGTATTCCCTGCACGGGCACCCCCACCTCCTCGGGTATCTCCTCTGCCTCGGGTGACGTCATCTCGTGTACCACCTCCATCCCCGGTACCCTCTCCTCCTCGGGTACCCTTCGACGTCCTCAGGTATCCCCTGCACGGGCACCTCCTCTTGCTCGGGTACCCCCTCCACCACAGGTATCCCCTCTCACTTCTCCATCCTCATCATGTCATTTAAAAATGAATCAAATTCAGCAACTGATGGCCATGATGAGTCAACATACCCCATCTGACCCCTTCCCCCTAATAACCACTGACCCCTCCGTCACCCCCTCCATCCCGATAGCAACCAGTCCCTCCGTCACCCCCTCCATCCCGATAGTGACCTGTTCCTCCGCTAGCTCCTCCATCTCGATAATCGCCCCGTCCCACGCAGGCTTGCTATGTCACCCAGTATCGGTGCAACCTCAGCATGAAGGTCTCCTAACCCAGCTCGTAACATCGCGACATCATATCTAACTCTGCCATGTCCCCGAACTCAACTCGTAGTGTTACGATATTATTCCGTAACTCTATCATGTCTCCTCTCATCTCTATCAGGAGTTCGAACAAATCAATCGTCGAAGCACGGTAACTAGGTGTAGGAGGTGATACTTGATGGCCCTCCTGTAAAAATAACTATTACAAATGAATAACCTAACAAATAAATTAAAACGACAATCGAAAAATTATTTTTAAGTAACATACTCTATCTCGATCAACGCTGGACTCAGGCATCTAAACCTCTGGCATAGTCGGACGTGATCTTCTCGGAGGAGGTGACATCCTCGCCAGACATGATCTCCTCGGTGGAGGTGACATCCTCGACGGAGGTAGTACTGAATGACCCTCCTGAAAAATAAATATTACAAGTGAAGCACTTAATTACAAGATCAAAACGATATTCAACAAATCCTGCACAGTAACATACCCTGGACTCAGGCATCTGATCGTCATGGGCAGTCCGAACAGACAATTCGTGAATATGAAACTGACTCTCCTCCTCGATCGACGGTGTCAATTCAGTGAGTAAGGACTTCAAGCTGACATTTTGACATGTCACAGTTAATGACTATGTATTGAGACTGTAAAAGGACATACAACATAAATAGCAATTGTATAATACGTACCTCAGGATCGTTGAGGAGAGCTCATAACTGTCTAGCAAGCGACTTGTCTTGTGCTCGCCAGTATGCATCCGAGGACATCGTGTCTCTCCTCTCCTCGCATACCGACTAGCCAAGATGGGGACAGTCTCGTACACCCATATCTGCAGCAATTATAATTATTGTATATAGAATTCAATAAAAAGTGTAGGTAATTCATTAACTTAAACATATGCCTGCAGCACCAACAGTAGTCCATATGTATCGTACTTGCGCTCGGGCTTATCCCCCTTTGGCATCGAAAACCTCTTCCTAAACACACGTAATGTATCTAGAAAACATCTCCAATCCAATGGGTAGTTGTTGAAGGCATCAATATCATCAACAATCTCCAAATGAAAAATGTCAATCGATGTCTTTTTGTGATGACACTGGGGTACGCTCTTGATGATAAGCACCAAGCCCAGCTTCAGCCTATCAGACATCTGATCACATCTTCTTAATGCATCTCCCAACTGCGCTAGAGTAACCGTCGTCTGTCCACAAAAATATTCATTCAACAGCCTCCTGTTCCTTGGAACACAGGCCCTAGCCTCTTCTTCGTACGTACAGCGCAGTCCAGTGACGAGAGCAAACTCAAATATGAAGAACGTCGCTACCTTGCCCCCAAGATCAAAATGGAGGGCGTCTCCGTCAACTGGTTTCAACAACCGACGTAGCAGGGCATCAAGTAGCTGCCCAGACCACTGTACATCACGCAACGAATACAATGGCCATAAGCATGATCGACGTAATATGTCTGCGTGCTCGTCATCCAGCAAATCTAATACCAAAGCGAAGCTTGTAAATCTGTCTGACAGCGTCGTCCAGTTGATATTCCATCCTGCAAAATTTCAAATATTAGAACCTTGTGCAAATGATGTTCGATAAACAAAAATTTTTGTTCATAGGTAATTGATAAACAAAAATATTATAAAAATATACTAACACACTGTTACCATATGCAATAACCAACCGATAACGGAATAAAAAAAATGAACGTAAATTACTATTTTCCATATATTTAATTTGCTAATTTGATTGATATGACTTATTTAATATTTAATTATTTATTTTAATTATTTCACTAACACTTATTTTAATTCTTTAAGCATAATCCTTATTTCGTATTTACAAATCTATTTTAATTGCTTTGCAAAAAATTAATTTGATTGATATTTTAATTTTAAAATTTAGTTGCTTATTTTTATTGTTTTACAAATGTTTAAATATGTATTTAAATTATATATATTTATATAACTTATTTAATATTTAATTATTTCTTTTAATTATTTTACTAACGCTTATTTTGATATTTTAATCGCTTATTTTAATTATTTTTTTAACACTTAATTTACTTTTTCATTTTTAATGAATTTTTAAAACTTATTTAATTATTTTCGCATAATGCTTATTTCATATTTACAAATTTATTTTAATTGCTTTGCAAAAAAATTAATTTGATTAATATTTTAATTTTCAAATTTAACTGCTTATTTTTATTATTTTACAAATGTTTAAATATGTATTTAAATTTTTTATATATATTACTTGTTTAATATTTAATTTTTTCTTTTAATTATTTTACTAACACTTATTTTGATATTTTAATTGCTTATTTTAATGATTTTTTCAATACTTAGTGCTTGTTTGGTAGGAATTTTGATAATTGATTTTTTGACCGTTAGAGAGAAAGTGAGTTCGACCTGTGAGAGAAAAATTCAAAAATGACAACTGAAATAATAAAATAACAGTCAAAAAATTGATTTTAATTGACTTTTAAACCCTACCAAACAAGCTCTTAATTTAATTTTTCATTTATATATATATATAAAGAATTTAAATAAATATTTAAACATTTGTAAAATAATAAAAATAAGCA